TTAATGTGTTAGTGAGAAGAGAAACATTTGCCTTCTCAGGAGGCACAATCTGAAACAGTCGGGGGCTCGCACGTTAAATTAAGGATACATGTCTAGCTGATTTTGTTGCATCTCTTCTCTTAGTGAAAAGCAGTGGTAAAAATGTGAATAAAATGTTAGGTATGGGGAAAGAGAGGGAAAAATATGAATATATTGCATTCATATAAACTGAAGTAATATCCTTCTCTTGCCTTTAAAGAAGGCACAAAGAATAGGCCTCAGGATAGTGATGGGGAAAAGTAGCAAGAATTATAGGACAAACATGGTTCCATGTGAAAAGGGATGTAAAGGACCAGGATTGTTTGGTTTACAAAGGAGCGAAGTACACTGACTGGTAGCAGAGAATTTCTGTTTACTTTGCTCATAATATGGTAGTAAGGAAACAGTCCTGTATAAATTGCAGCATGCCTGCACTGGATGAAGATGCCTCATATAGGTGCGGGCTCCAAAAGCACAGAGGAAATTGTTGTCCTTACCTTAGGCATTTCAGAAGTGTATATTTGAGAGTGCAGTCTAAGTGTACCAGGGTATATGCATGAAGCCAAGCTTTCATGATTGATAATGGATGATGCTTTTCTTGTAATATGTTTATAATTTTAAAAAAGTTCTTGGGGTGAATACTGTGATTGTTGTGCTTTTTTCTTTCTACATATAGCCTGTAATCTTCGTGAAATTCCCTGCTACCTGACGTTTGTACAAATGATTTAGAACTGCAGAGTAGTAGGAAGAGAGGGCATTAGGAGTCGAGACACCTAACATCTGCTGTTGTTTATTCTGGGGACAAGTGCAAGTCATACATACTGTATGATTCAGTTTACGATCTGCAAAATGGGGGTAATCTTTTACTACCTTGAAGGTGGATTGTGAATGTAATTGCTGTTTGTAAAGCCTTTTGAGATTATTGGATGAAGCTTGCACAAAGTATATCACAGTAAAAATAGGATCTGCCATTACTCCAGCAATCCTTGCAGGCTGTATAAGAGTTATCACTTCAGGATCTTACTTGATTATCAGTTTGAACTCAGGAGAAATCTGTTTATGTTTTATGTAGTTCTTTTCCTTTTCAAACAGTGAGGACAGTGTAGGTTACACCTGGAGGCAGCATGAAAAGGTGTTAATATTTCAGCAGTCTAGTCTGGGGTGAAGGTTCCTATATTTCTATAGGAAATATAGACTAGTTACTAGGGAACAAGGACAAAAGTCCTTGAAAAGCTAATAATACAGCAAATTCATTTTTTTTTTTTAAATATCCACATAGTGTTCTGGGAATACATTTGAGTTTATGTACAATATGTAGGCAATGTGAGAAATATGGTTGGCTGACTTTTTGCATAATAGTCCAAACTAAACACAAATATACATGATCATTTCTGCAGGGATGAATTGAACTTTATTTATAGATGGATGCTAGTTGACGCTCAAATGGCTACTAATGCTCCCCCACCTTTTTTCCCCCTTCTTGAAGGATTGGATAGCTTTGGTCAAAGCTGCTGCAGCAGCAGCTGCCAAGACTAAAACTGGAAGTAAACCTCGGACCAGTGCAAACAGCAATAAAGATAAAGAGGAGAGAAAATGGCTAAAAGTACCTTCAAAAAAGGAAGAAACCTCAACTTCTACAATCATACAAGAAGTCCAAAAAAAGGAAGAGGAGCCAACATCCATTGAGCCATTTGGTACTAATTGCTAATGCTGCTTTTCCAAAAGATTGCAAATAGGCCATATGTTCTTTCTGTCCATCAGTTATTCACAACCTCAGAATCCCTATTGTATATATTACAAAATAGTATTACCGGTGAAGGAGACACATTCTTTATATAGTTGTCAATTCTGAAGACTGGAATAATGTTAATCAGTTTGATTTTTAAGTGCAAATGTCTTCTTCCTGATTGTCTTAGCTGTGCTTAATAGGTTCACCCTGAGATTTTCTGCTTAATTTTTCCTTCAGAATTTTAGTATAAACAAATCCATAAGGTGCTTGGCTATAATAGTAGCTTATGGGTAATTTTAAAACAATATTTGTAGTGCATATCAGTGGCTTCATATTGCAGGGGCTCTCAAGATTTTTACTTTTAGATATATAAATCTTCACTTTTGTTTAAACAATAGCAGTATCCACTTAACCCAGAACTTGTCATATTTTGTTAACAGTTTTTAATTGTTAAGGAAATTCTCAGCTAGTAGTTGAATTCATGCTCCTGTCAGTTTTGGTATTTGGGATTTTTATTTTGAATAATCACAAAGAAAAAAATTAAGTGGCTAATTATGACACATTATGCTAACTTTTCAATGAAAAATACATTGTAGAATATCTTTAATGTTGCTAAGAAATGCTTATAATGTGAATTTATAGATGCACTCTTCCATGTCTTTTTTTTTGTTAAAAGTAGGATTTCCTGTAGTGGATGTTCCAAAGATGGCCTTTGTGCAAGCAGAGAGCACATTATCACACAAGAGGAAAAGTAGTCTAGGCAACACATTTCAGGCAAAGAGAGCTCGTCTTAACAAGATCACTGGTAAACTATCTTTTTTTAAAATTGAAATTAACACTACTCTTTATCATTTCCAACTGCTTATCCTTGTACATAGGTGCTATAGTAAAGGTGTTATTTTTTGTTAGTCTTTGCTATTGGAAACTTTAGTGCACGTCACAGTTTGAAGTCTGTGTTTTGACCTAGGTTCTCAGTTCAGTGACTTGACCTTTCTGAATAGACCTGTTTTTTGAGCAAGTGCCTTCAGTATAATAGCTTCATCTCCTGTCTAGTTCTCTCCTTTATTTTGGATGAGAATTGGACCATGCATTGGCTCTTCACATGGCCATGGGCTTATATTATACTATATGACTGCCAGTAAATTGGCAGAGTAGCAGTAGCATTCCTTTTGAAGGCAGCTAAATACTCTGTCCCAGTTTGTCTTAAATTAAGGTGGTTTCTAGAAGATTATATTATAAAGGGATTTTTTTCATAGTTTCATAGTTTCTAGGGTCGGAAGGGACCTGAGCAGATCATCTAGTCCGACCCCCTGCCATGGCAGGAAGAGCACTGGGGTCAAATGACCCCAGTAAGGTGGTCATCCAACCTCCTCTTAAAAACCCCCAGGGTGGGAGCCTGCACCACCTCACTTGGAAGCTGGTTCCAGACTCTAGCCGCCCTGACCGTGAAGTAGCACCTCCTGATGTCCAACTTAAACCTTCCCTCCGCCAGCTTGTGACCATTGTTCCTGGTCACTCCTTGCGGCGCTCGGGGGAACAGGGACTCCCCCAGCGCCTGCTGATCCCCCCTAACCAGTTTATAACAGGCCACAAGATCCCCCCTCAGCCTTCTCTTTTGAAGGCTGAACAGGTTCAGGTCCCACAACCTTTCCTCATAGGACCTACCCTGCTGTCCCTTGATCATACGAGTGGCCCTCCTCTGGACCCTCTCCATGCTGTCCACATCCCTCTTAAAGTGCGGCGCCCAGAACTGGACGCAGTACTCCAGCTGCGGCCTGACCAGTGCCGCATAGAGGGGGAGGATCACCTCCTTGGACCTGCTCGAGATGCATCTGTGGATGCACGACAAGGTGCAGTTGGCCTTCCTAGCCGCCTCCCCACATTGCCGACTCATGTTCATCTTGGAGTCAATAATGACTCCCAGATCCTTTTCCACCTCCGTGCTGACAAGAGGGGAGTTCCCCAGCCTGTATGTGTGGTGCCGATTGTTCCTCCCCAGGTGCATCACCTTACATTTGTCCGTGTTAAACCCCATCCTGTTCTCCTCCGCCCATCCTTGTAACCTGTCTAGGTCCAGCTGTAGCCTGTTGCTCCCCTCAATTGAAAGCTTGAGTACTAAAGCACTGGAAAGGGCCACTGGGGCTTAGGGCTATAAAGTCCATTTTTCTTGTTCACAGGCAGCCATTTATCCAGAGTCCTAAAAGTCATCCACTCCATCCTTCATTCACTACAACCACAGACCATAGTACAAAGCCAGTAATACCCTACAGTATATCACTGATCAAAAGCAAGGGAATTCAAGGCAGTGCCAATGCCATGCCATTGCAAGGGATTTTAGAAGTTAGAAAGGGTATATTTCTCACATTTAAAAGAAATAATGACTCATAGTCATTCCAGGGAACCATGCACACAGTAATAAAATAAACTGTCATAGCAGGATGTGGAATATTAGGTAACTGGTCTAATAATTAAGAGAATTGAAATGTGGATCGTGTTCTAAACTTTGCGAAAGATTTTTGTTTATAAGTCTCTGCAAACCATTTTAACCCCCCTGTAGTTCACTCGCCCCCCCCCCACCCACACCCCTGTAC